GGGCTCCGGCGCACTTTAAGGAATTATTTTTGACCCAATATTAACCATCGCCATTTTTTTTAAACCATGAGATAAAGTCAATCAACAAACAATACAGGGCTACTTCATTACAAAAATATTGGTGAACTTATCATTTTGTCTAAAATCATAACGCTAATCAACAAACAATACTATTGTTCTTTATTACAAAAACATCTGTGAACTAATCTCTGTCGTTATGGCGAGCCAAGCTATGGTTGATTATTAGGTAAATAAAATAATATAAACAACCAATGAGTAAAACTGATTTATTCTAATCAATTTATATATGAGTCAAGTATTACCTTAACCGTGTACGAGTTTGCTTTTGAACGGGTTAACTCACACCCTTTCAACTTGTAAATTCCAAATACAAACTGCTTACCGTATTCATGCCATAGACACTAATATCCTAATTAAAAAAAACGTTCCGTTTCCAATAATTATTAGACACAAATATTAATTCTGATTGTTTTATCCATCAACACACAGAGTAAACACATCTAACAACCAGATCTTATGAATTCGAGCCTCTTCAATAGTTATAAAGCACATCAGACAGTGTAGAATAAATTGCCTAACAGAAAATCATGCTTTATAAGTTGTTAAAGGGGCGTGGGGCTATTTAAGGAATGACGTTTGTGCACAATGCAATGAAATAATTACCACCAGTGTAAGGAATTATTTTGACAGAATATGTCAACTGCAAATATGATGACTAAACATCAGTTTGTTCAGAAGACACTCTGCATGCGTGAACTTTCAAGTCTGTACCGATTTTAAAAAATTAAACAATCCCACATATCCACATTCCTAAAAACAGGAGTTTTACCGTAAGACAGTAATCACTATTACTTGTTACAAATTGGTATTACATGTAACGGGTGGAGTGGGGGTCCGGCCAAATCGCGACGAATAACTTCTTAGTTAGTCATATTGTAAGTGTACCTGTGTTTTCTTTATTTTGACATTCTGCTAAATTAGAAACCATTTGAGTAATAATTGCAGGTTATTGAATGGACTGAAGCTACATGTAAAATTACAAATACATCGACATCTCTTTTCAAAATTTGTAATTATTACTACCGACAATTAACAATAAAAGTCATATTGTCACACAACTACAGCAAGGTAACAGTCTGTTGTTAAAGGGGCGTCTACATTCTGTCAATAGGTTTCTTTTGATGTTACGTGTCAATTGTTATTATGGAACTTTGATTGACAGTATGCACCAACCAGACTCTTTGGTGCCGAAATGAAAAAGTCAGCAAGGTATTATCGGACTGATATACGTGTCCATGGTATTCAGCAATCGTTCAAGCAGAAAATGAACCAAGAATGTTTTACAATCAACAATGCTGATTGTTTGTTAGCCATTTTCTAACATTTCTTCCAAGTTGAAACTATATGCTTCACGATTTTTGCACGAAGCTAAAATTCTTGTCACAGGTAAATGCCAAAATTTCTAACGAAGACATAAATTCCAAAGAGCTATTTCTGCCTAGAAAATATGGCAGCACGAACTCAGTAAAATTTTAAGATTGGCGTCGCCATTCAGTCTTAAGAACAGTTCCGTTCGAATTTTTAATTCCACCTTACTTGTTGTTCTGTAACCCCTAATCTAAAATGCTCTTTCGATCTCATCTAATATAGTACATACCACAAAAACATCGAATTAACTTATTTATAATAACCCCATTCTTTATTAAAAATTAAACTTAAATATATGATACAATTCCTTTTTAAATTGGCTTTCTCTGAAATAAATTTTGGCAAAGTTATGCATTACATATAAGCATGAAATGTATTTAGTAGGTTTTATTTGATCTTCAGCGAAAAAGGGTCCTCGTTCTATAATAATAAAAAGAAATAAAGAGTTCGAATTATTAGTTTATTTTCACGTTTTGTCTTACACAATAGACATATTGTTAGCTTTTGACACGTGTATTAATTCTACAAGTCTTCTGTGTTTATTGCCCGAGATAATCGCACTACCCTTCAACCCAAAATGCTTTCTATAGATCCCATATGTAATATATGAATGGTGCAATATCCATGCTGTTAGTCTTAATTGCGAAGACATTTAAACAAAAGGATTTAATCAGGGTAGGGAGTCGACGTGTACACTTAAAACAGATGCGTGAGATTTATCATTCGTGGATGTGTTGTCAGTGTGGGAAATACTGTTTTAAATGGATATATAAATACACGTTTTATGATTGTGGACGAAACGGTATGTGCATCTCAAGAAAGCTTTGCTTCGGAACCGTCCCGTCGTCATTAAAAATCCAACATCAGTTTCTCCGTAGTGATCTTGAAAAAAAATTCCCGGATAATGACAGGCATTACAGATACCTGCCGTCGTATGAATCCTGAAAAATAATATTTCACCGTATCGCAACAGGTCAGTACTAAAACTAACACTTAATACAGTATTTAGTTAATGACCAACAACTAAACGCATCGTAATATCTTAACATCGCACGTGAAATTAGATGTTTGACAACAAAATCACGGCTCAGGAAATCGAACTGTCCAACTAATTATTGAACAGTCATGCTAATTAGACGGGACGCTTATAATTCAACACGTGTCGAGAAACTAAACACTAGTTAATTAGACGCTTGGTAATCAAAATTAAACAGTGAGATTGAAATTCGATAGAAGTACAAATTGAGCACTATTCGCCGAAATTCAACAATATTTATGAATAATTGGACACAGATTAGAAATTAACGCTATTTACGTAAGATTAAACGGTACCAATGTTACAGTGAAAGTTGTCTTAATATGTTCCTTGTTCCCAAAAACCTGGGGATAGACATCAAGATCATCAAATTTGAGTCAATAGTTATGGACTTGTGGCCATTTTTGACATAATAGGCCAACATCATTTTTAATGATCTTAATGAGTTCTTTGCCCCCCAAAACCTAGGAATAGACACCAAGATCATCAAATTTGAGTTGATAGTTACATAATTATGATCATAAAGACGTTTCGGTGGCCATCTTAAAAAAAAAAACCACTTGATAGTTACATAATTATGATCATTTGACGCCATCTTGAAAAAAAACACCACTTTTCTGGGGGTCCTACTTTGGTAAACTTTTAGTATGTTATAAAGTAAAGTACACTAAACCCTGCCAGAATCAGTTGAGAAACCTTTTGTAGCAATTTTTGGGGGGTTAAACTGTATTTTGACCTGACTATATGGATATTTATTTCATCTCTTTAGTCCTGTATTGTACTGTTAATACCAGGAATACTAAGTAAATTAATGTCATATTATGTATTATATACTTTGTTGTATTTTACCTGATACTGTTTATAATCAATTTTCATGGTAATCTATTATTCTATGTATGTATAAATGTATTGTTGATATACTGAGCGCCATGGAAAACGCATCACTTTTTTTCCCAAATATTTTATTACTAGGTGGTTTTGTATGTATAATATTATGCAATACTATGAACTATTGTTTCACACAATGCTCCCAAATGCAAAAAATATCGGCCCGTGTGCACAAAAAAAATTGCATGAGATGCACATGAAAACCCCAATATTCACGTGCAACAATGTGTGTGAGCCCTTTAAAAGCATGTTTTCAACTTAATATGCAGTACATGAACTGTGAAACGTCAATCTGTAATTTGTTGTTGGACGTGTGAAGGAATCGAGCTAGAGATGCCGAGACTTACTGAAAATCAACGGAATCAAGCCATGGGAATGTCCCGGGCTGGCATGTCTACACGTGCTATTGCCAGACACTTCAATTGTCATCAGTCCACTATTGTAAGGTTGGTGGAACGTGTTCGAGTTACTGGATCAACACGTGACCCTCAACATCCTGGTCCACAACGCGTTACAACCCAGGCTCAAGACCGCTACATCCGGGTCACTCATCTGCGTGACAGATTCCGCCCAGCGACTCGAACAGGTGCAGCAGTCGTCAGAAGACAAGGACCAGTAAGTGCCAACACCGTAAGTAAGACTCCGTGCACGAAGACCTTATGTTGGAGCTATCCTCAGGGATCATCACCGTCAGTGGTGTTTGATATGGGCTCAAGGACACCAGACATGGAGAAGAGTAGACTGGCAAAGTGTGCTCTTCAGTGATGAGAGTCGCTTTCATCTTTATCACGCTGATGGTCGTCAACGTGTGTGGAGACGTCTTGGGGAACGTCTTGCAGACTGCTGCGTCTTCAAAACGAATCAATGGGGTGGGGGGAGTATAATGGTGTGGGGAGGCTTCACATTTCATCACTGGACCACCCTACACATTTGCAGGGGTCGCGTTAATGCTGTAGCCTACCGTGATGATGTCTTCCAACCAATTGTCGTTCCAATGTTTCGAGCGCACCCACAACTTCAGCACTTCTAACAGGATAATGCACGTCCGCATACCGCCCGTTTTAGTATGGACTACCTGGCTGCTAACAACATCAATGTCTTCGACTGGCCAGCCATGTCTCCGGACATGGCACCGATAGAACATGTCTGGGATAAGATTGGACGCCGTCTGTATCTGAGACCACAGATGCACACCATTGCTGCTTTAGAAGCTGCTCTTGTCCAAGAATGGAACAATTTGCCCCAGGCCTTCTTTCAAACATTGGTTAATTCCATGCGACGTCGCTGCACAGCGTGCGTAAGAGCCCGTGGAGGACACATGCGCTACTGACATCTGTGTCATACTTTTGGTTTTGACCCCTCTGACTTTGTACCGTTGATTACAGATTAAACATCCATAAGTGTACAAATGTGTTGTTATTGATGTGTTCCCATTTGAATATTGTTCACAATAAGAAGCAAAATAAATAAGATATGTTTACAGGATCATTTTGATATACGAAAAACTAAGTAATGCGTTTTTCATGGCGCTCAGTATATATACTTATTTATATGCATTATATTACCAGAAGTCACTCGATAAAGAGCAAACAACTATTTAGTTACTAATACTATTGTATATTTTTAGACTGGATCAGTAGAAAAATTAAGGAAGAGACTTTTTATAGATGAAGAATCTGATGCTTTCTGTCAAATGGTGGCAGAGTAAGTTAGAAGCTTTTTTCATTAGTTTAAAGTAGACTCATTTCGTATAGGTGTTGAATTTAACATTCTTAAAGGACAATATTGGTGACAGTCATTATCACGTTTGTGATAGAACTGGTTAAACACGTTCCAAATATAATTTTAACACAGAGATCATTGCTACGATAGATTCGTTATGAAGATTTCAAGAATATCACCTCACATATATTTTATTATTACTTGCCAAAATGGTTGTGATGACAGAATTAACTACGAATAAATACTGCGAAAAGCAATGAACTAACGCTATCTGCACTTTTGGACACTCCAATAAATCAACACGAATCATTGGACAAAATGAAATAATTAGGTCAGCATATTTCAGTTAGTTATCAGGAAGAAAATTCAAGGTAGCAAGGTAGCAGCTTCTGGTTATACACTCACATTGAAATGTTATATATAATAATTAATAGAATACAATATCAAAAAAACTATCGTTTTATCTAATGTTTCATTAGTAAAAATACTAACTTCTTCAGGAATGAAGAACTAAATACAAAATGACTGGAAGTCAGTTATGACATCATAGGAATGTTAATCCATTAGGCCAAACTGAATCAAGTGTAACACTATCTGTAGTATAACAGAGATCAGTTTAGTAAATATAGGATTTATTTACAACGGGAACATATAACAGCTACAGTTACATACATACAACAACAATACGGAAACTTAAACTATAAGGAACTAGTCTACGACAGGAAGACATCTAACAATATTAAATCCACCATTCTGCCACTCTGCCAAGGCAGCGGCTGAACTCGGGTGAGTCCGTACGCCGGTCTCTGCATCTCTTCTGCTCGGTCTGTCATAGTTTCTAGTTGTCTTCAGTTATATACCTTCTGATCATAGATAAGCTCATGGTCATACATGCAATTGTCTCTTTTATCTCGTCATGGCATGCTTACTGACCAGTGCATATTCCTTTGAAGTCCTGCCGAGTGTTGCACACAGATCATGTGCAGCCCGTAAATGACATATTGAATTAATTACATGTTTAACTACAACACAGACAATCGTGACTTAAGAACAGTGCATACAGAGTTAAAAGGTCAATATTATATATATATTATCTTGAAGCAGCTGAGGTCATAAAGTTCTAACCACCTAGATGACCGTTCAATTTGATGAAAGTTAAACAGTACTTTGTTAAAAAACACAACACAGTTTATATGGAAATACAATCACTGGTTTATAAGTATAGCACGACGTTTCGACAAGTATTCCCTTATCGTTATCAAGTGCTTGATAACGATAAGAAAATACTTGTCGAAACGTCGTGCTTGATAACGATAAGAGAATACTTGTCGAAACGTCGTGCTATACTTATAAACCAGTGATTGTATTTCCATATAAACTGGGTTGTGTTTTTTAATGTGTTCAATCGCTAAATGCCACTCAAGGATTATAGTACTTTGTTACTAAGGCTGTGCAAAAATATCGATATAATCGATAATCGGTAAAAGTTATTTAGCGATACGATAATCAATATTGAAATTCAAATATCGATTATCGGTATATTTATTTTCTGACTGCAAGTTACGGTCACTTTCACATGACTGAACTTGCCGTAGTCTGGCATCAGCAGATGAATGAATGAATACACGTCAACACAACAACTATATTTTCCCCCTCTGCTTACAAACTGGCACATTGTAAATATATATTATTGTAAAAAACTAAACTTTAAGATTTGAATAAATACATTATTTGAATATTTTCGTTGTTTTTGTTGTTATTACTAGTTGAAACTAAAATAGGTCACGCTCTTTGTGAACAATGACAACCGCACGTGATATATAGTAAAATTAGAATTATCTCCCTTCATTGCTCTTGATTGATTTATTTGTAGAGAAATCGTCTGCTTTCACAATAAATTATTAATGATCAACTTAGCTTTTATTATAAATCATGTCAGATACAGCCCATACAAAACACGTTTTTGACTTCCTGGGAAAGGCAAAAAGCGAAGTTTGGAATTGTTTTGGTTTTTACGGAACTGACGACCGTAATATTGACAAATCATATGCTGTGTGTAAACTCTGCTTCACAAAAATAAAGTACGTCGGCAACACTACAAATTTAAAAAAACACATAAACACCAGTCACCCAGATAAATTATCCTCGTCAAGTTCAAGTAGCATTGGTAGTAATAGTAGTGGTACAGCCCAACAACGTACTATACAGCAATTTACAACCAAATAAGGAAATAATTCCCCAAGGGCAGTAAATTTAACAAATGCAATTGCCGAACATTTATTTACTGATTTATGTCCGTTGAGTATGATAGATTCAGTCTCATTCAAGAAAATTCTTCATATCGCAGAACCTTGATACGAAGTTCCAAGCCGAAAGGTGTTTTCAGATAAAATATTGCCACGCATGTACGACAGCACAAAGGAAAAGATAAAATGCGAAATGTCAAATGCCGCAAGCACATCAATAACCACTGATGGATGGACATCTATTTCCACACACTCCTATGTAACTGTCACAGTCCAATTTATGACAGATGACTTTCAAATTAAGAATTACGTCCTCCAAACAAGGGAACTACCCAGTTCTCACACGGCAGAACATTTAAACGAAGCTTTGAAAGTTTGTTTCCGTGAAAAGGATATAGAATCTAGTTTTATTGTAACAGATAATGCCGCAAATATTGTGAAAGCTGTAAATCTATTAGGCCTACATACAGACTCATCAGAAGAAAGCTTAAGTCAGTTTAAACATGTACCATGTATTGCACATACACTTAATCTAGCCGTTAAGAGTGGTCTAAAAAGTTGTAAACAAGTTAATGTACTTTTAAATCGCTGTCATCAACTAATTGCTTACTTTAAAAGAAGTCCCTTGCCAACAAATATTTTACATGAAAAACCGAAGATGTTAAACCTTCCCAAACATGGACTCATAATCAACATGGAAACTCGTTGGAATAGCACTTTTGATATGCTCGAACGCATATGTGAGCAAACTGTGGCTGTTCATGCTTCACTCAATGACCCATCTTTAAAGAAGGATTGTCGCAATCTTGTCTTGGAAGGAACCGAGTACTCTTTGGCGGAAGATCTAATTAAACTTCTAGGAGTAATGAAGGAGGCCACTTTAATGGTGTCATCAGCTACCAATCCTAGTATATCCTTGATCTTGCCAATCCTAACGAAACTTAAAATACATCTCCAGCCATGCGATGAAGACAGTACAAGCATCAAAACCATCAAACAAAGTATGCTTGATAATTTGAATACACGTTACCAGCGGCCAGAACTGCAACGAATATTTGTTGTTGCATCATTGCTGGATTTAAAATATCGCAATATGCGATTTGCAGAATTACAAGAAATTGAGGACGGCAAACATCTTTTGAAAAAATTAGTACGCGATCTAATAAAGGACACGCCCAATTCATGTGCTCCGGTAACAACAGAAACAGGAGATGCCGATGATGGTCCCACAGTTTCAAAATGCCCCAAGAACGAGGATTCGTGGCTGTCAGAACTCTTGGGTGACGATGAGATAGCAAATGAAATTGGGTCAATGTCTCCATCAACTGAAGCATCCAAAGAAGTTTTCAATTTTTTAAACGAACCAAGGCTTAAGAATCAATCGTCATTAGACTGGTACAAATTAAACGGAGCACGATTTCCAAGAATATCTGTTCTGGCCAAAAAACTGTTATCAGTCCCTGCAACCTCGGTTCCGAGTGAACGCGTGTTTAGCACGGCTGGTTTTATTGTTAATAAATCGAGAAACTGTTTATTACCAGAAAATGTAGATAGACTTATATTTCTTAATAAAAACTACAAAAGTACCAGCAATTAGCTAGTGATATCAATATTATTATTTTCGCAATGTGAGATAAGATCGTTGTCCGCTAAGCGCAAGCATAATTATGATATCTAATAAATGTAACAGTTATCTACCCTAATGGACTCTCTCTAGTAATGAAGATAAATAACTTTAATTTACTTTCGTTTGTTTTTTTATTACGATTGAGTATTGACAGATTGTATAATAATATTAATATATATAATGTGTTTAAATAAACAGTAATAAAGACTGAAGATGTTTTGGAATATTTTTATTATACAATACTATTATTAAACATGACTGTTGAAGAACAAATACAACAAAATAGTGGTAGCCTGTGTCGACCAACACAAATAACAGGTCGGTAAAGTTCGGATTTTTCCGGAAAAATGATAATCGATTATTATCGATAATCGCTGACAAATTCTTGCCGATAATCGATATTGAAATTTCATATCGACTCCGAGCCTTATTTGTTACACAAGTCTATGAATCCACAGACTTTCTGCTGTATTTAATTTTTATACGCCCACACACAAATGTGAATCCAAATAAATATAAAGAGGGAGGAATCCAAAACCATTTGAATAACATAAACTTAGATGGGATCCAAGTCATAATAAACTTGATATGGTGACACCAGTAGAAGGAGTGGTTAAAAACAAAATCTTGGGTATTACAAAACCATCTTTATAGAATCTTAACGTTTCGTAAGTGTAAAAACTTACTTCTTCAAAGAATGCCAAAATTTTCTAATAACCCTCAACCAACAGCACCCTAAAATCAAATTCACTATGAATATCAGTAATACTGAAGTCTCATTTTTAGACGTTAAAGTCATCAATAATCACAACAAACTAGAAACTAATTTGTTCTGCCAAGAAAGAGCTAGTCATCAATATCTTAAAACATGCAGCTGTCATACTCATCATATCTTCAATTCCATAGCTTACAGTGGGGCCATCTGCATTAAACGTATTTGCAGCAAACCTGAATGGACCAGCTACCATTTAACTAAATTTGAAACCTACCTAAAACAATGTGGATATAAAACTAAAGTCATCAAAATAGAACTTAACAAAGTCCACCAAAAAAACAAATGAATTACTGCAATATAAAATTAAAGATATTAATAAGAAGAAAGTTATACC